TCTCTCATGCTTCCGCCTTTCTTTTCTTTCTTTTCTTGTTCCTAAGCACTTGTGTGCCTCAGAGCTGCAGTGTGTTCAGTCACTGACAAAACATCCCTCTATTTTTCGCATAAGCTTCCGCCTTACTTCTTTTTAGAGAATGTTTAAACATACCCGTAAGGCTGAAGAACATCTAACTTGGTAAACTAGTCAACTTCTTATCTGAGTCTTGTGAGAATGTGTCCAAGATGAGAAACTATAGAGGTTTGGTGACAATTCAGTGAGAAAGGGTAAGAATTTTATAAAGAGGCAGGCACCTGGGTGGCTCAGTTGGTTAAGCGACTGCCTTCGGCTCAGGTCATGATCCCGGAGTCCTGGGATCCAGTCCCACATCAGGCTCCTGGCTCAGCAGGGAGCCTGCTTCTCCCTCTGACCCTCTCCCCTCTCATGCTGTTTCTCTCTCGTTCGCTCTCTAATAAATAAATAAATAAATAAAATAAATAAAATCTTAAAAAAAAAGAATTTTATAAAGAGAGAGATGTTTTAGCAAAATGGCTAAAGAATTAGTTAAATTTTCACCTAGAATAAAGAGATAAGGGAAGCAGAACCTGATGACATTTAGATCATGAAAATGAGAGTGGTTAATTTAGGTTCTCTGAAAATAAGAAGCCAAAGGGCCTCTAAGGCTGACTGAGAGGAAGAAAGATTGCCCTAAACATGGTATAAGTATTTCCTACCAAAGAAGCATGAAGCCAAAGTGCCATGTCTTTGACAGATGCAGCTGGGCTAGGCTGGGGAGAGGGAAGCTGGAAGAGATGAGTCTGGGACCTCTAATGAGGCTCATCCCTGAGGGCTGATCTAACCTCAGGTCGGTGCCTGGCCTACCCTTGTGGCTTGGTCTGAGTCCAGGCACAGGCACCTCCCACTCTGTTCCTTTCCACTACAGAGGATGAGGCCAAGTTAGTCTGCATACTGGGGACACAGATCTCTGTCTGGAGGCAGTTGTACCAAATTGCCTTGGCCTAATGGATATTCCAGAAAACCTGAACATATTTCAAGGTGCCACAGGCCTTTGCAGACAATGAGAAGATCTCACTTGCCTTTTAGGTTGATCTGGATTATATTTTTCATGACTCCTCCTCCTGTTTAGGAGCATTCATAGAGCAGGGTTGGGCCAAAATGTTAACTGACAGTGTTACATATATGATTTTCCAAGTTGGATAAAAAAGTTCCTTTATGGAAAGGAAATATGGCCTGTGTAATTTCCTCTCTTCTTTTTTTGAGGCCTTCTGGTTTTATGCTCTATGCCTGCGGTGGATTTTCAGTATTCCAGGGACATCTCAAAGATAAAGTGTAGATGGAAGACATTTTGCTGGTAGCATACATCTCTGCGAGATCTGGGGAAAATGAACTTTTGCTGTTAAATTTTTTACCAGTACTTTTAAAGACAGTATTTACATATTCCATTTATATTGTAAAAATGATCACTTCATTGATTCAGTCATTCATTAATTCATTTGATATCAATATTTATTGAGTCTCTATTTTGGATGAGGCACTATGCTATAAACAGTTGGGGTTCCAAAGATGAGTAAGACACGAGCAACTTAGCAATGGAGACACACGAATATACAACTGAAGCAGTAAGAATGTAGCAAGTGGTAGAAGTAAAGAAAAACTGGCTATTGAGTTCGGAACAGGAATAAGTTATTACCAGGGTGAGGATTAGGAATGGTTGGTAAGAGAGGTGACCTTAAGATGCAGTGATTACCTCAAACCCATTTGGATGGCTGCTGTTAAACAAAACAGAAAAAAACATATGTTGGGAAGGGGGCAGAGAAATTGGAATCCTTGTGCATTGTTGGTGGGAATGTAAAATAGTGCAGTTACTATGGAAAACAATATGACAGTTCTTCACAAAATTAAAAATAGAACTACTATATGATCCAGCAATCCCACTTCTGGGTATATATCCAGATGAGTTGAAAGCAGACTTTCAGAGAGATATTTGAACATCCATGTTAATAGCATTATTCAAAATATGGAAGCAGCCCAAATATCCATTATCTATTGGTGGATGAATGGATAAACAAAATACGATAAATATGTACAATGTAATATTATTCGGCCTTAAAAAGAAAGGCAATTCTGACCATACTACAACATGGCTGAACCCTGGGGACATTATGCTTAAGTGAAATAAACTGTTTACAAAAAGACAATTAGCATATGATTCCACTTATATGAATTATCTAGAGTAGTCAAGTGCATAGACATTGAAAGTAGATGGTGGTTGCCAGGGCCGGGGGGGAGGAGGAAATGGGGTGTGAAGTTTCAGTTTTGTGAGATGGAAAAGCTCTGGAGATTGGTTAACACTGATGTGAATAACTTAAAATTATTGAACTCTACACTAAAAAATTAAGATGATAAATTTTATGTTATATTTACCCTACCACAGTTTTAAAATTTGTAGTATTTTATTATGCAGGGATGGGTGGAAGATGCTTGATACTTTGGTACTTTTGTCCATGCATATATCATTCACTCCTTCCTTCCTTCCTTCATTCAACAAATGTGTATGGAATGTCTGCTACGGGCTGGGCCCTGAGCTGGGTATTGAGGCTGCAGTACTTAAGATTTATAAGGCCTCAAAACTGTCAGTGTCCAGCTTGCTAACCACACTGCCCCCAAAAGGCACTAAGCTCCTATAGTTAAATATTCACAGCTGCTTCCTACTGACTTGAATCATCATAAGATGTTAGTAAACGAACAGTACAAGATTGAGGTTGATTGGGGAGAGGGGAGTTCAACAGCATTGTGATGAAATGGAAGGGGATAGGCAGAAGAATATGAACTGGAACTGAAAACTGCAAGCCCGTGCTCTCTAGAGATATTAAAAAATAAAGAACTTCCATTTGAGGCTGCCAAAGTAAGAGCTGTGTCATTTAGAATGGAAAAAATCGGCCAAGTCAGATGCGCTTAACGCAAGGAGCCGGTATTTTGTGAGCATTATGGCAAGTATTGTTTGAGAACCACTGCCACAAAATTGTGGACAATACCAATGAGTGATCAGAGTAGGAAAGGGTCATAAAATTTGAGCTAAAAGGAAAGACAGGGCTTGTGAAAGGGAGGGCCAGTGAAAAAGTCAGTGTGGTCTTGTTCTTTGGGTGGGGAGTAGAAGCAGGAAGCATGAGTTTCTTTAATCAGAGACCCTGGAAACTCTATCTTAAATTCATTTTATCTCATCCTAGGTTGGTTGTTTAAAATTTATTTTTTATCATTTTTTTAAGATTTTATTTATTTATTTGAGAGAGAGAGTACGAACAGGGGGAGGGGCATAGAGACAAGCAGACTCTGTGCTGAGTGAGGAGCCCAACAGTGGGGCTGGATCCCAGTATCCTGAGATCATGACCTGAGCTGAAGTCAGAGGCTGAGCCACAGGTGTTCCCGCTTTTTTTTTCTTTTCTTTTCTTTTTCTTTCTTTCTTTCTTTCTTTCTTTCTTTCTTTCTTTCTTTCTTTCTTTCTTTCTTTCTGTATCTTCACTCCATCTATCTTTCCAGTATTTTTCAACTTTTCTTTTTTTCCTATACACTCTGAAACATTCTATGAGTTCATTTAAATATATTATTGAGTGCCAACTACATACCAGGCACTGTGCTTGGCTCTGACCATACACCCTCATTTCTCTTCCATTGCTTTTATTCGGTTGCACATGCCTAGCAAATCCTGGATTGATCTAAGTTCTAATCTTATACTGGTTAAATGAGAGATGCAAATTTCATCTCATTTGCTCCTTTTCTTAGCTCTTTTTTCTCTGTCTTCTTCAAGGTGTCTTTGTTGAGGCTGTTCCTTCTACCTGTGTCTTTAATCCCAACTGCTATACTTCCCTGGACTTTGTTCTGTTCTGCCCTTCTCTGTACCCCCAACTCTTCACTCTCTTTTGCCCATTTCCTTCATTCTAGATGAGGCTTACATTCTGAAAATCCTTTTTTTAATCTTTATATTCTTTAGCAAACACCCCACACCATCTCTTTCTTTACCCATTCTTATCTAAGTTCTTAAAGGAATGGTCTTCACTCATTTTCATTTCCTCCTATTCCATTCTCTTTCCCACCCACTGGATCTTGGCTTGCGCTTGAACACCTCTACCGAAACTCCTTGCTAAGGTTCCTCTTTGTCAAATCCTACTTGTATGTCATCAGTCCTTGCTTTATTGGACTTCTCTGCTCCTTTTGGCACTGTCAATCACTCTTCCTTCTGAAAGCTTTCTTCTTCCTTAAAACTTCTTACTTCTCCATTTCCTGCATTCTCCCAGAACTTACTGTTAATTCTCAGGTTTCTTTCTGGGATATGCTTCCCCTACAAACTTTTTATAAGGTTGGAGTAATCATCTGTGTTTCTTTGCTTCTTATTCTACATGCTCTAAAAGAGGAGTAATGAGTATTGAACGGCACCCTTAAATTATAGACAAGTTATAAAAACTGATATCTACGGTTACATGGTAATAGTCATATAAACATTTGAATTGTTATCTTTCTATACATGTTCTATTGTTGCTCATCAGTTCATTTGAGTTTCAAATGCCCCAGCTGCTTTTTACTTTGTCTCTATTTCCTAAAGATGCTTAGTGTGTCTAGAATTGGAATGAGTGTTGGTCTCTAATGGTTCTGCATTAATTGTGAATCCCTGAAAAAAAAAAAAAGAGTAACTCTATTAAAAACAAGTTAATTTCATTTTGTCATTTATCTAGATAATATATTCTGGTGTAGGCCATCCATTTCTTAAGCAAGTTTGCAATAAACAATATCCCCTCAAGGTTAATATAATAGGCAAACACCTTTTGCTGTAACAGCCGGCAAGAGGTAATGAAAGATTAGCTTACATTATGATTCTTTATTTCAAAATGTCAGAATAAAGTGGATCTGCTGCATCCTCCAAGCCTCTTATTCTTTAGAAGAGCATACATGTTTATAGATTCACTGTTTTTATTTTCTCCTACTTTTTATTTTTCTCCCCCCAGGCCAAACTCAGACAATCGGCGCCAGGGTGGCAGAGAGAGATTGGCCAGTACCAGTGACAAGGGAAGCATGGCTGTGGAGTCTGCCAAGGAGACACGCTACTGTGCAGTGTGCAATGACTATGCCTCAGGCTACCATTATGGCGTCTGGTCCTGTGAGGGCTGTAAAGCCTTCTTCAAGAGAAGTATTCAAGGTAATAGTGTGTTGAAAACAACTTATTCCACTTTTAATCCTGAGGGTAAGCAACTGAAAAAGGAAGGCATATGAGCAGTCATTTGTAGAAGAAAGCTCTAATACCTGGTAGGTCCACTAGTATGTCGGGTAAAAACATGGAGAAAAAAAAAGCTCTCAGGAGAAAGAGTTGACAAAGACCAGGGCAGTTGTGGCTGAGTAATTACGCTTCCTCCATTGGCACGATCCAAGCAGTCTTGAGCAACTCTATAGGAAGGGGACTTTAATGGCTGGGTCTGGAGAGGTCTGTGCCCTGATTAGGGGATGGCAGGTGGGTATCCATTTGTTGCAGGCAACTAGGCTTATATGATACAATGTAAGATGAGTTGTCTCTACATTAGTACTTTTCCACCTTGGCTATGTTCAGATATGCCTTCTGTTCTGATCTTTGCTCCAGACTTGACTGGTTCTTCCCTTGCTCTTCTTCCATCTCTTTGTTGTCTAAGTGGATGATAGGACTTTTGCTAAAATGAGAAGACTCAATAGCTGGTGACCTGTAATAGGGGACATATTATCAGTATAAGTGGTTAGTAAGTATTTACTTGTAACATTTCATTCACCTGTGTGCCTGGATCCTCTTTTATATGTGGCTTACCAAGAGCAGCTTCTCCCTTCTACTGACAGCTCCAATTTATTTGTACTCCAAGAATGTCTATATTGTTGCATTTTATAGGATGCCCTGGGGGAAACATAAATTATTTCTACTACCTAAAATATCTATGGTAAAAATCCTTTGTCTTGACAGGAATAGCAGTCTGACAGGAGTTTAGGTTAGCTGAATTAACTTTGCCTTGGTCCATTTTATTTATTTATTTATTTGTCTTGGTCCATTTTAAAAGCAGTTTTTGACAGTTATTACTTTCAGCATCTTTTAGAAATCTGTAAGATTTATACTTTTTTGTTGGATTTTTAAATAAAATTAATGATATTCTCTGATAGTAAATTTTTGTTAATATATATGTACACACACAAAGAAATAGAGATATAAATAAATAAACATACACATGGATATGTATATATACACACACATATGTGTTAAAGCAACATAGATTATTTAATTTTACCACCTGATACTATCTTAATTTAGAAAAACGAGGTTTCTATTTGGTTTAGGTTAGCATAAGCCCCGAGAGGTCTTTCAACAACCATCTTCATTTGTGATATTACTTTTTATTTGCTTTTATGTATTCTAAAATAGCATTTTTTTCACCAAACATTTAATCTGGTATTGACAAATCATCTGACAGAGGAAGATTTAGTAAACAGGTTCAGCTACAAACTTGGATAAATCATTTATCTGAGATAGTTCTCTCATCTATAAAAATGATTGAGAGCAACTTTCAACAGCGTTTTTTTTTTTTTGTAAAAGGCCAGATAGTAACTGTTTTAGGCTTTGTAGTCCTTGTTGCAACTACTCAGTCCTGACATTGTGGCCTATAAGGAACCACAGATAATATATAAGTAAGTGGGTGTGTGCCAATAAAACTTTATATACAAAAACAGACCAGAACTGACCTGGGAGCCATAATTTGCTGACCTTTGATTTAATGTATGGGAAGGGAATAGATTGTTTCTAAATCTAAAGTTTTGACTCTTCCTGTTTATTAAAAACTTACTCTATACCTGTGCAAGATGTTCTGAGAGAAATCAAAATATGTGTAAGATATAATCTGTAATCTCACAAAATTTGGAATTTATTTGGGAAATTTATTGGGGAGGCAAAGGTACTTGTTCCCATGATATAATTAGAGAGTAAGTCAGGTTAGGGATAAAGTGCTATTATATGATAAAGATAAGGAAATAATAGATGAAATATAAGAAAATAAATATTTTCAGTTATAAAAGTCAAATTACTAATATTAAAGATAGAAAGGACCTTTCTTCAAGGAATAACACCAATATTCTCACAAATTATTTTCATCCTATTTGTTCAGCATTGAAGAGTGTATTATATAACTTCACATCAGACTGAGTATTGTCTCTGAGCATTAAGGCATTAGAGCAAAAAAACACAGAAAAGAAAAATAATGCACTTAAAAAATAGTGAAGGAAATGTGAGCTAATAAAAATAAATATTTTATTGGTATTGCATTATCTCAAGTTCATATATTTAGAAAATTTCTGCATACTCTTTGATGGTTAAAATATATATCTTATCTCCATCTTGTATGTATAGACTAAATAGTAGGATTTCATTGTACTATAAATTATATTATATAAAATTTTACTGTATATATAAATGGCATAAACTGCAATTTCTGCCTGGCTTCAGAAACTTCTTATCATGGTATGAAGTCACTTAAATAAGCTTTATTAAATGAGGTGAATATTGAGTCCATAGTTTTAGAAGAAGCATAGAAATGAAGCAGAGATATTAACTTTTAGAGATAGGGAGGGACCTTAAAAATGATTCAGTTTATGATTTCATTCATTTATTCATTGATTACCTCTACTAGGCAAAGCACTGTGGAAGGCCCTGGAGATACAATTATAAGAAAGACATGGTCCTTATTCTCATAGACCTTAAAGGGTAGTGGGAGAGTTGCACAGATAAACCGGCCACTAAATAACAGTGTGACATGTGCCAAGATGAGGGTGAGTGAAGGGTCTTATATAGGAGTCCAAACTTCATTCAGTCCTGGTGGGGGTTGAGTCACCTCTGAGAAGTTTTCCTGATTCAAAATTAAGTCTGGAGGATGAGTCAAATGAGCAGAATGAAGGAGAAGGAGATGGATGTTCATTTGTATGAGCATATGAGCAAAGACAAGGAGATGAAAGGGAGTTTGGGGAGTTCTGTGAATAGAAATTAACAAAATTAATTGACCATTAGATCAAACAAAGACATTCTTGGCCATGTATTTAGTCTTGATTATGTAAAAATAAAGTAGTTTATTTCCTTTTTACTTCAATGGTGTTTCTATGTATTTGGCTTGTTTGTGCATATAAAAAGGAAATACCAGAGCAAGTTTAGTGGTTTCTTGTCCCATTTTCCCATAATAGTCTTGATAACATGCAACTGAAAAGTTTTACTGAACTTCTTTGGCTCTTTATAAGTCACACTGACCCTCAAACCTATTTAAGGACAGTGAAGGGTCTGACTTGCAGGTAGAAACTTCTGAAGATGCTGTAGCTGTCCCTGCTTTTCTTGTTATTTAAGAAGAGAGCTAGAAATGAGTATCCATCAGATTACTCTAGTGCTCTAAGTGTTTTAGTTGAAGAGGTAAAGTGTTTGATTTGAAAGCATACAAATTTTCATCCACTACTTAGTGTATAAACTTGATTACTCAAGAAATTGAGTAATGGCCTTCAGTTGAACATACTCCTTTTTTTTTTTTTTGAAGCAAAGTCAAGGATTCTATTTAAGGGAGGGGTAAAATGGGATAGTACATGAACTTGTTAATCATTGCAGATGGAGAAGCAGTGTTTCTTAAGATGTGTTGTAGGCAAAGACCTTGGATGAGTTATATAAGCATATTTGATTACAGGTACCACCTTTGAGTACCACCTTGGACTCAAGGAAAAAAGACTCCACTGAGCTCCCTGCTTCTCTGACATTATTATTTCAAATGTTCATGAGGTATAGTGGAGTCCCAAGCCTATCTGTATACCACTAGCTATGCTGCCACTTCATATTATCTCTCTCAGATGTACAAAGAATATAATTAGATCAAACAGACATGGCCCAGGCAGGTGTTGACTTAAAGGGTAGCTAAGACCAGAAGGACATCAGGGTGGTATCATGGTGGAGTCTGGTTATGGTTCAAGGCAGAGAGGCATTAGGTCCCACCAGGAAACTGACAAGCTTTGTCCATTAGGCCTTGGAAAGCGTCAGGGGTGGGTGGTGGGGGTTTGACATTCCAGCACCCTGGATAGCTCCCCCAACAGTGGCTGAGTGTAAGCAGAGCCTGATTTTCTGAACTTCAGCCCATTTAGTTGGCTCCATCCACTTTGTAGAGCTGTATCAAGAGAGAACTTAGGCCTTTTGTGCTTGGTCTTCCAAGATGGATTAGGTTTTACATTTAGTTTCATATTTCTAGTCACCTTCTGGCTTGACATATGTACCCGTGCCTGGAAAAGGCCAGCAGATAGGGGAGAAGTGGTGGTTGCTCTCTCATTATCTAGCTGTTTTATCTCTGGAATCTGTTCAGAGATATAGCTCAAAGTTGAGGTCTTGACAATATATGCACACAAAAATATGAAATTTTGATCTCCATATTCCAAACTTGCCCCTCTACCTTCTAGTCTCCATGCAACAGCAGGAGAAATCTTTGAAATGTATTCATCATTTCATGTGGTCTTTCCCTTAAAACTCACACTGCGCTTCAAGTCCAGATTCCCTCCTATGGCTTATAATACTCTACAGTCTCTTAGTCCTGCTTATTTCTCCCCCCACTTGTTATAATCCAGCCACACTGGCCTTCTTTCTCTTCCTCCAACACACCAACCATGTTCCTTCCTCAGGACCTCAGCACATTTTTCCCTTTGCTTGCAACACCCGCATCTTTACTTGGCTGGCTCCTTGTCATTCAGATCTCTGCCCAAGATCACTTTCTCAGAGAAAAAGACAATGTCATGTCATGTCAGTATCTTCAGAGACTCTTCCATGATTACCCTAGCCAAAGTAATCCTACAAATGCTTGCCCCTAGTTTTTTTCTTTTTTTCCCCTACTCCATTACCCTTATTTTTCTTTAAGACCCTTAAACCCTTAATGAAGTTCTCTTATTTATTCATTTGGTTGATGACTGTCAATCTGTATCAGGTGCTGCTTCCCCATATTCCTGCCTGAACTTGGATGTAAGCTCAGTGAAAGCTGATTTCAGGTCTGGTCTGCCCTATTGGTTACTGTTACTCCAGTACCTCTAGTAGTGTTGGGCACATTTCTGCTGAATAGATTAGGACAAGAAGTCTAAAGAATGGTAGATAAGACCTGCTAGAGGACCTCAGAGAAGGAAGAAATTTCA